TTGTGTGTTTGTGCATTTCTTCCTCTTTCATGTGTGCCAGCTCAGTCACAGCTTCACACACCCTCGCAGCCAAACTCCTGCAGCAGACCTGACCCTGCCAGTGTTTTTACCTGTGTGAGAGTGTGTGTGAGTGTGTGTGTCAGAGACTCTAAACACACTCTGTCTGCCTTGCTGGATGAGCTGTGATCAGACCTTGCCTCTGCCTTCAGGCTAAGGCCCAGAAAGTGCTGAAAATCTGTTAGGCTGCAGCTGTCAAGAGCAGTTTAGAAAGTCAACTCTCTCTGTGCTGTCAGCAGGAGTCGCCAGGTTTCACAGATTTGCGAGCTCATAATAAAAAGCTTCGGTCAAAACTCTGGTCCGGTTTTTGACACACAGGCAGTTTTTACCCTTTAAAATCTCACTGTTATTGTGTAAAAAAACCAAAGAAGATTCGTTGACAAAAATCATTTTTATTCCTCTACAAACTCAACATTTTAAACCTATGATCAACATGTACTTGTCTTTGGCCCCCAGACCACACTTTTAGCACCATTCTATCTGGACCAGAACCCTTCCGTCTGAATTCCTTTCCAGCTCTGATTTAAATGATAATAACCACAGATCATTCTGCTGCATCTGCTCACCGCGCTTCTGAAACTGGATCCTGGATAAAAATCATATTTTTCCTTCCTCTTCTTCTCCTCGCCTACTGCTGCTCCTCCTAAATACATGTGTGTGTTCGTGTGTGTGTGTGTGTGTATTCAGTCTGAGGTGTCCAGCTGTTCGGAGGCTCGGTTGCCAGATAGTGCTCCAACACCAGGACAGGCTGATATGGCAGCAGATTGAAACCCGGCCCGCGGTGCCGTCAGATAATGAGATCAGTCTGAGGTGGAGGTTCTGTCACCTGTTGGACCCAGTCAGGAGACAGAGATTTATACGTGTTTTTGACAAAAAATAATTATACCAGATTATTAGTTGGTGTGGTTAGAAGAACTGAAGAACTGGTAGTGACCCAGTGATGAAGTTTCTAGCAAGTAAATAAAATAAATGTTAAGAAAAAACACTTAAAGATAAATTATTTTTTATATTTTTGTCATATACAGTATATTATATTTTATTCTTCCATAATATTTAGATTAACCAAACTCTTGAGGAAGACTTTTTTATTTTAATTTAAGATGTCTTACGATACGACCTGCTCAATATCCTGTCCTTTTATTGGCTTATTAATTCAACTGTCCTGGATGTAACTGTGTGTGATCGAGCTGTAATTTAAAAGGACCAATTCATTACATTTCTAATTACAGTAAGATCTAAGACAGATGAGAGGATTTTTGAAAGGTTAATCATTTCTAAATGTGCAGTCAGTGAAGCTACAAACGAAGACTCCGGCACATTCCTCAGGAAATTATGACTTCGTAGAGTCACGCAGCCTGATCAGGCCTCCTCCGGGAGTTTGGAGTCTTCGCCGGAAGAAGCTGTTGGCAAGAAGAAGAAAAAAAAAGAAGAAGAAGAAGCAGCTCCAGGGATGGCAGTCCAACCAGAGGGAACGATACGTTCCTCCTCCTCTGCTGTCACTCATAAATCCCCGCTCCACAGTTTTAACCCTGGGAATAGTAGGGAACCAATAACTTGATGAAATGGTGTAAACTCATTAAAATACAGAAACAGGGCTAATTGTTTTAGCTGGAAGGCTAACAATTTCTAACTGAAGTGTTAGCCAAACCTGGCCCACGTTGGTTTTACTAGAAAACAAAAACAATTCTATTGATGTGAAGCAGAGTTGAAGAAAGAAGTTGAAGAAGGAAGAATACACATCCTTGATTATATTTCTATATATATATATATATATATCGCTTCCCCCCCATTTTTTTTTCATTCATTGTGATAGAGCGACAGCCTGTTTGTTGAATGTGATTGGTTCCTGTTCCCTCTCTTCCACCCTCATCATAGCCGCTCTTTGAAGTTTATAGACCATTATCTGTAGCTGTGATTGGTACGTGTCCCTCCAAAGTGTTCATACTGGATCCTATCACAGGCTGTATGTGTTTGTGATGAGTATCTATCTCTCTGTCTGCTCCGTGATTTGTGCCGCGTGATGAGGCTTTGAAAACATCTGCCACCCGCTTCTGCCGCAGGTTTGGAGAGGCTTATTGTCCGCCGGGCCATCAACGCAGCTGAGAATGAGAGTGAAGGTGTGTGTGTGTGTGTGTGTGTGTGTGTGTGTGTGTGTGTGTGTGTGAAGGAGCCATTTAGGGCATTTTTCCACGTTGGTTTCAGCCTTTAATAAACTGAGGCCGACTCACATCATTCTCCTCCACTTGCTGCCTTACACTCGTGTGTGTTTAAGAGAAATCACATCAGTTTATATTTAAACGTCTACTTGATGTCTGCACAACTGAATCACGTGGACACCGACCTCCTTATCTGGGCTCCGTCGTCGCCTTTATTTTCCGTTTTAGCTTTATGTAAAACCAGGTTTCTCTTTATTTACTTCTGTGCTGACTCGTGGCTAACATTTAGCTATTTTGGACAAGTGACAGCTATCTTGTAGCTCTACTATGCCTATTTACACTCTTCTATATTTGAAGTGAACAATAAATCCCTGGTTTCATAGTCAAGTAAGTCAAGTACAGTGATTATTCACCTTTAGGTATTCCTAGCTTTTAGCAAGGATTCGCTTCTTTACCCACCGTTAGGCTACGACTGATGTATTTGTGGCCAAGATATTGTGTTTTAGCTAAAGCAATAGCTAAATGTTCAGCTTAATTTAATTTTTTTTCTTAAATTATGGACATACCAAAGTTGATATTTTATTAACATTTTCATTCTTCAGTCTGATCCAAACCGTTCTTGTCACCTCGGCATCGGTCCCCGTAACGTGAGAAACACAGGGAGACAGCCCCACACTCATCTTCTCTGTGCCGTCCACGCCGTCAGTGAAGTTCCCATGAATAATGGATAAATACTAGTGTTTTCACAGACATGAAATAAACAGTCAGACAGAGACGAGCAGAAAGAAGCAGAGATGGAGACGGGTTTGAGTGCATCTTTGATCTGCAGCCCAAAAATGACTGCTGTATTATCCCGCTGTTTGAGAGGACGACGTGTGTGTGAGTGAGAGGGAGAGAGAGAGAGAGAGAGGGAGACGGCTGAACATATTCATTAGTGGTGATGTTTCCATCGAAGGAGACGACCCGATGGATAAAGGTCAGAAAAGAAATGACATGGAAGTTTTAGAGCCCGAGAAAGAAAGAAGGTTGATGTGGGGGGTGAGGGGTGGGGTGGGGGGGGACAACAACAGGAAATTGGTATGGGTTCCAGAGAGGAAATAAGAAGAAACACGTCTCTGAATTTAGAGGGAAAAAAATTGTTGAGTCAAGTACAAAAATGACCTCAAACAATTCTTTCACCAAATAGAACAAAGTCTTTCTTTTATTATATTTTTTTCAGTATTTCTGATTTTATAAAAACAATTTAAAAAAAAAAAGGAAAAAAATCCCCAGTGGATTCAAATGACAGCGTGTCTAATTTTCCTCATGGCATTTGATTGACAATCCATTTTGCAACTCCGTTTAATGTGGTCTAATTAGCACCTGAACAGAAGTGGTTGGCACTGAGTGGCGGTGGTCGTATGTGCCGCCTGTCAACCGCTGACAGAGGGAGAGAGAGTTCACTTTTCTTCTCTCCGCTAATGATATTGTCTGTGCTGCTGAGAGACGCAGCTCCGCAGTCAGACTGAATCAAACTTGGAAACGCGCCGCGCTGATAATTCATCTTGTGTTTCACGTGCAGATCAATAAGAGGTGGACTCCTCTGTCAGGGATAAGTTTCACTGCTGCTGCGGACCGAGCCAGAGATGGAGTCCTGCGCTCAGATTAGGAGACGTCTCCATCTGTTAGTCCCGTGTCGATGCAGACTTGTCAGTCAGTATATCTGTATCGATCCCCCCTCCGTCCCACCGCGCCCATCTGGACTTCGCTCGTTGCCGCACTCGGACAAAGGAAGACAGAGTTTATCTATCAGTGAGGGCTTTGAGTGTAAGCTCCCTGACACCTATCTGTCTCTAAATAATCCGTTACTTCTATCCCACCAAAGCTGCTCCTGTTCCACGTTCTGTCTCTCACGTCTCCTTTTTATTGGATTTTTCTCTCTGCCTCAGAGGTTGATCTAAAATATTCCTCACGTAGAAAAACTAACGGCAAAAAGAAATGGCTCGGTCTCTGAGTAACGCAGGTTTGATCAATAATGGGTCACAGTTCAAGGTTTGGGACGGGTTTTTATTTAGTCCTGTTGATACACAAATGGTAGAATTAGACCCAGACCATCTGGTCTGTTTCCTGAATGGACCTCAGTTTAGTCCACACGGTTTCAGCTGCTCTATCTATGAGGATTTAGACTCAAAATCACATCAATTCTGATCATGTAAATACAGCACATACATGTGTGTGTATGTATATGCATGTAAATATATATATATATACATATATGTGTATATATACCAACATATATTCTATACTACACACACATAATTACATAATATGTACACATATATCCAGAATATTGCATAGTACGTTGAAATATTGTAAAAAAAATATTGCCCAAATATTAAACAGGTTGCTCACCAAAAACTGATTATTGCGTCAACATTGACTGGAAATCTCCACAGTGAAAATGATTGCACAAATGTAAAACCAGGTTAAGGCAAATCTGATTGGTCTACCAGGTGATCCAATCAGATTGGATTTATAGATATGTTACAGAAGATGACTTTCAAAGTCATTGGTTTTCAACCAATTACTCTTGTCTTTCGTTTCCCTCCTCCCTGCTGAGTCAGTCAGTCAGTCAGTCTCTGTGTATGAAATATTTCACAGTTTTCCTGTGGTCCTTGAGAAAATGCCTGAAGCCGTTGTACTCACTGAATGCTCTGTAAGACAAGAATCCCCAAGTTCATCACTTTTTGCTGTGCTTCTGTTCTTTTTTTTTTTTTTTTTTTTTTGCCACTTCTTTTCCATCTGCAGCCCCGTCTCTGATCAGTGAGCTGCGAGCGGAGAAGATCGAGCAGAAGAGCATCACTCTGGTGTGGAGAAAACCCTCCTACCCCAACAGCAGCCGCACAGAATATGAAGTCAAGTACTATGAGAAGGTGAGTTCCACTGTTACATCATCATCTGTCTGTGCTGTCATCACAGTTTATGGCCCACAACGCAGTCATTTTTCTATATAAATCTCTATGAGTTTTTCAAAACTTCTCAAAAGTTCATAAAGGTTCAGATGCCTGGTGGGTACGAAATGGGTTTTATTGTCCCTGTAAAGTCAGTGACCCATTAAAAAAGTGGTGTTAAGGTTAAAAAGAAAGTTGCGTCATGTAGCCTTAATTTATGATTCTATTATTTTCTCAATGTAAATCGTGCAAAAAGCATTAATCATGACGCGACGACCAGCTGCAGCCTGAAGACTTTTCACTGCACATATGACTTCATCTGAGGAAGAGCTGCACCTGCAATGAGAATTATCTCAGCACATTAAAGAAGGTTTATGTGGGTCAGGCTACCAGAGCGGATGAGATGATCCTGAGGTCGTCTGGAATCCATTAACAAATTCACAAAATATTGAATATTCAGAGATATGTCGATATGTAGAAAAAATACTAGGAAAAAAAACCCACATTCATCTACCTGAGGTTTGTAAAAATTACCTTTTAGTAATGATATGAAAATGACTTGTTAATATTCACATATATGTGTTCATAAGTATATGTATATGTTTATTTATATATGGTAGTATGGTATTTTCTTACATATGAAAGTCCATCAGTTCTCACTGGGGATCAAACTGTCTTCCTTTTGTTGTAAGGCCAGAGCACTAACCACTCTTCCACCCACTGGGAAGACAGTTGTTCAGTTACTGCCACCTTCTGGAGCTATTTTCCACTCACAAACATTAATCTTAATCATTTTCATAGTATAAGGTAAGAAGAGAAAAATGCCCACAGGGGGCAGCGTCACTGCAATATTATTCAGTACAGTATTATATTATTATATAGAGAGTTATATTATTTTTTATTGACCCAGGGGGTAATTTTCAAATGATAGCATGTTGGTGGTTTGTTTTTGGGGGTATTCTTGGGGTATTCCTGTATACTGTAGCTGTAGAACGGTATCTGTTGTAGTAAAACCTCTTAGAACAGAGTAATAATTTTCACTACTTTGATCTCCTGGCTGCTGAGACACTATTCAGAAACCATCATGGATTTTTTAGGGTTCTTTTTGATGTTCACTTTCACGTCCATGTTACTGTCGCTGCCTCTCTTTCTTTTTTTTAAACCATCTTTATGGGAAGCCATTCTAATTTCAACAGCCTCATCAAGATCACCTAAGTGTAGCACTTAGTCAGATTGTGGCCGCCCCGTCAACAGTCCATATCCTGGCTGTAAATCTGTCATGCACGTAAACCACAGCTGTCGCACACTCTCTCACTCCTCCACATTTACATATGCTGCATTAGGAGTATCTGCTTGTATCACTGTCATCACAGCTTTCTCTGCTCTCAGCAGCACCAGATATGCCACGTTAGAGTCCTGCATAAAAACCCATAGTCTCTAAGTTAACATCATGGTTGGAAAATACATCCAGCAGGTGGCAGTGAGTTAAAGTAGTGTACGAAAAGTATGTGAAGTTTCACATCAAAAATCCAGCAGGTGGCAGTGAGTTAAAGTAGTATACGAAAAGTCCGTGGAGTTTCACATCAAAAATTATATATATATAAATATATGTTTGTCTGTATATATATATATATTGTTTTTTTCAGTTTAACAGTTTGAATATTATTGACTGGACCAACAATAATCACCTAAATTGATTGACTGTTTCTGAGTTGTGGTCAAATCTTAGGTTTATATTTACATGTTATATTTAGATGAGATAATGATGTTGAAACGTAGAGTTGTACCACTGACAGACCAAAGAGAAAAACAGAAGAGACCACCTCCAACAAAACACCTTTTCCATCTTAATAGCTGCAGAGGACGGTGGTGGATAAAGAGGACAAAGGTCGTCTACAGTAACAGGCGATGGGGTTTGAAGGATTAGATGGTGGTAAGGGGATAATAGATGGAGAGAAAAGGCCGGAGAAAATATATAACTGACCAAGGATGGAGGGCGACGACGTGAAGATGCTCATAAGGGCAGTGTAATAGGGAGCAGGTAGAAGAGGAGCAGCGGGGGAGCAGTGGATAAATGGACACGTGGCAGAAACTGAAGGACCTGCTTTCTGAAAGGCCATGAAATGAAAAGGTAACGCGGCTGCAGATGCACTCATTCAACGGAGTGTGGTGGAAAATATGGCTCTGCTTTGTCAGTGTCAGGGCAGTTTTCACTGTGACTGTAATGGGCTGGGTCAGAAAGTTTTAAGACAGATGGTCTGGTTTCAGATGGGGTTGGAAAAAAACCCAAACATTTTAAGGCACTTATTTATTTTGATTGGTTTATTTTTGTTTGAAGGTTATTGTCCCATTTTATATATATATATATATATATATGGTAAAAAATATATCTACCTCTCCTA